AAATGGGGTCGAGAGCTCTGGGGGCCCCGCGCTGCGAAAACTTACCCTGGCGAAGGGCCCAACCACATGCAGTTGTGAGTGCCGTCGTTGTGAGTGTCGCCATCGGTGGAGCTCCACATGCGGCCACGAAACGGGTGAGGGGTGTGCCGACATGGGTGGCGGGGACGCACGTGAACGCAGCCACTGGGGCCATCGGTGGAGCTCTTCGTGGGGCCACCAAACGTGTGAGGGGTGTGCCGAAATAGGTGGCGGGGACGCCTGAGGCCACAGCCGCTGGGGCCTTCGGTGGAGCTCCCTACGGGGCCACGAAGCGTGTGAGGGGTGCGCCGACATGGGTGGCGGGGACGCATGCGGCCGCAGCAATTGAGGCCTTCGGTGGAGCTCCCTGTGAGGCAACGAAACGTGTGAGGGATGTGCCGAAATGGGCGGCGGGGACGCATGCGGCCGCAGCCACTTGGGCCTTCGTTGGAGCTCCCTGTGGGGCCACGAAACTTGCGAGGTGCTACGCCAAGTCCTTCTGCTTGACACGCGGAGGGCAGGAGGGAGGACGGGCAGCGGGAGAAGGAAGGAGGACGCGCGGCGCTGTCTCTTCAAAACAACGAGGACCCAGCACCACATGATGAGGGTTGGGAAAATCACCACCCCGGGGGTCTGGGCGAAATGTGTCAAAACCTGTCGTCGCTTGCACGAGGCGGTCTGGGCTCGGGGGCCAACGGTCGCCAGACGGACATGTCCAGGAGTGCGTTCTGGCCAAAAGTTTGAAGCCGATCGGGCCGTGACGGCGAGCAGCCCCCAGGAGGTCCAAAAGGCGCCAACACACATCCAAGAACCTCGAACTTCGATCTGCGACCCCGTCGACATCGATTCTCGAACCTCTATCCTCAGCGCGGTGCGAGCCCTGCCCAACCTGGGTGGAGGAGGAGGAGGAGGAGGAGGAGGAGGAGGAGGAGGAGGAGGAGGGAGGCCGAGGAGGAGAAGGAGGAGGAGGAGGAGGAGGAGGAGGAGGACGTGGGGCAGGCGGATGTCGACGACGGTCCCAGAGGAGGAACATTCGGAGCATTTGCGCAGCACGATGTGCAGAGGCGGGAATAAGGAGGGGGCAGGAGGGGGAGGAAGCGATCAAGCAGCTCTGGGATCCAAGTCCGAGCTGCGAGATGCTCCCGCTGTAGCCGCCGCTCGCACGCCCTCCCAAGCAGCCGCTAAGGCCGTCTTCGGCGGCCGGTCCAAGAGGAGGAGGACGAGGAACGCACGTGGCTTGAATCCACGGTGGTCCAGCTACCGCCAGCGCACGAACACCGCATTGCGGCGAGAGCGGCGGCTTGTATTTCGTAATGGTATGCAGGCGAGGGGGCACGGGTGCCGCTCGCCATGTCACTTTTTCAGCTTGTGATAGATATGGAAACTCAGCACGACAGTGTAGTGACAGTGATGTCGTGAGTAGCATGACTCCATGTCTGGGGAGGGGCCAAGGCCGAGACGAGTGAGGGGGCAGACAGGGAGATGGTCACGAGGGAAATCGAGAAGGTGGAGCAGGAGAGACATGGAGTCGTATTCTGTACATCCGAAAAGACAGCGACAGGACTGGGCGCTGGGGATGCGAGCCGACGTCGCCCAGCCGCTGGCAAGTGTCATGAGGTGGGCCCAGGCCCAAGACGGGGGAGTGGGTTGTGAGACCTGGCGAAGCGCAGCCCACCTGTGTCAGCTCTGGAAGCGGGGGCACTGAGGAAGGCCGCAGACTGGGTCCCGCCACCTCCGTGTTCCAGAAAGGCTCCTCCGAAACATGGCCACCGAGCTAGCTCTGGAGACGGCGGCTCAGGAGTGAGGGGAGATGATCAGGGAACAAGGAGGAGAGGGATCGAGCGAATACTTGCTACGGCCGCGGGCGGCGCGTCTCCTCGCCAGTGCGCCCAATCTCTTCACGCGCCGCGGCCGTCGCTGTCCGCCACGCGTCCCCAAGGATCCAGGAAGCATGTGAAGCGGCGGGCGAGAGACTGGCAAAGAATGCACAAAGGCTGGTCGGGTTCCTCCAGCACTCAGGGCTGAGGCGCCACGTCACGACGCGCGGGAGACTCCCAAACATCTCAGCCTGCGACGTTAGAAAATCGAGCGAGGCCCGCCACCCACCCTCCCCGAGCTCACAAAGCGTGTGAGACGCCGTGCGCCACGCCAAAGCCGCACACATGACTCGAAGCGAACGCGGGGTGGCCGAGGCGAGCCAATCACCAATGCAGAGGAGCCCAACGAGGCCAAAGGAGTTGATTAGGGGGGAGGCGAAAGAAGCGGTGGCTGACGTGACGTTCCGCGCAGAGGAGGGAGACAGGAGGGGGAAGAGCTGGCATAGGTAGCTCAAGACATTGGTGGCGCCAAACTTATAGATGCAGCAGGTGGCTTCTGTAGGCGATCGAGACACGGCAACCTCTGAAACCGGTTCACGCCGCTTGCGTGTGGGTGCCGCCCACTGGGCGTCGAGCTCCGCCGACGGGCCGAATTGAATGGCAAGGAACTCTGTGGATCCAACTACCGCGAAATCAGCCCATGCTGGCATGAGGGTCCGGATCTGCTATCGATGCTTCTGCACTGCGGGGTCCGAGCACCGCTCGGCCAAGGGAACGATGGCACACGTCGCTGGCTGCAGAGAGAGGTTGGCCGAGGTGCGGGCTGCGTCGAAGGGGGGGAAGATCAGAGGGAGGAGGCCAATCGAAGGGAGCGTCGCACCCACATGGTCCGCCGTCGCTCCGCACTCCAGCGCATGCTTCGGAGTCCACCGGCATGGCCCTGGGAACATCCTACGGGCCTGCTGAGACCCCAGCTCGTCCGCAAGGTGCCTCAAGAACGGGTCCATGGTCAGAGCCCACAAAGACCCCACGAGGGGCATCCCCAGGCAACTCCTGAGGGCACCAAGAAGAGGGGAAGCGTCTTGGAGCCGCACTGGGAGTGGGCGAGAGCCCCTGAGTAAAGAGCGGCTATCAAAGTCGTGTAGCCCGTCGGCATGCGGTGCTCAGCAAGGACCAAAAAGAGGAAGACCTGGGAGAGCGAGAGCAAATCAGCGCGAATGTCAAACGAGACGACAAGTGGGAGGAGGGAGGCATGGTGGCCAGCACCTCGGGCTATCGCATCTGGGCGCACGATGCGCGACAGAAAGGTACGGCCTCGGATGAAGCCTTGTTGCAGGCCGTGGGCCCGCTCAGCCACCAGCGGCACCAGCTGCGCATTCACCGTCGCCGCCATCGCCTTCACGTCCGCGCTCTTCAAAAAGAGGGGTCGCAGCTTGGACGCGTGGCAGGTGACGTCCAAGATGTCCGTCGGGCCAGTGCCCTTGGGAACGAAGACCATGTCCGCAAAGTCCAGCCCCTACGGGGCCGGCCAGCCCGCGAAGAGCGCCAGCATGAGGTCATGCAGGGCGTCGGTCAGGCGATCGTCTGCGAGCCAGACCGCGGGCCCATACGCGGTCAGGGCCCGGCGCCGTCGGGCGGGCGCGTCGACAGGCACCCCGGAGCGCATCTGGCGAGGGGACCTCCAGCCGTGGCGCGGGGAAGCCAAGGAAGTGCTGGTCGATGTAGTCCGCCTCATCGATGGGCTGGTCGGTGAAGATCGGGCCCGAGTGCCGCCGCAACACGTCCATGACAACCATCGGGTCCCTCTCCGCGGACGTCGAGTGGCCCTCAGCATCCATGCGCACCCCCGCCAGGACGAGGCGGCGACGATACGGGACCCACAGGAGGGCTCGCCGCTGGGAGGACCGCTGGGGCTTCCTGAGCTGAAGCACCCACGGCACGTCACTACCAGGACGGAGGCGAGCCTCCTCGCGCAGCCGCTCCGCAGCAGCGCGTTGCTGTCGCTCGTGCCAGACAGCGTGCAGGAGGCGGTAAGTCCGCTCGAGATGCCCGGGGTCCGCAAACGAGATCGACCGGTCCCCGTTGATCTGGAGGTGGCGGCGGCCGAACTCCGTGGTGTCCTGCAGCTTCTGGGCCAGCGCCAGGTCCTGCCTCCAGACCGCGCGCGCCACGGCGCGGGCGGAGATGCGACGACCGTCTTCCCCCTTCTCGGAACTATCACCGATGGGGAGACACTGAAGCTCGTTGCGCGTGAGCCTCGCCGCCTCGATCATCATCATTGTGATGGCACGCCATCGGCCCTCGATCCCAAGGTCCCCCAGGGAGGTGACGTCCAGGAAGGCCTTGACGTGCTTCGCAAAGCGGGGGGAGGCGAAGATGCTGGCCAGGATCGCCCTCGCCGCGCCCGCTGCCGCCTGTCGAGGGCGAATCACGAGCTGGATGCTGGTGTGGTCGCTCAGCCCCCAGTCGGCCAGGGAGGCCGCCTCCTGCCAGATATCGCAGGAGACGCACGTCTCGAGCAAGTAGTGGCCCTGCATGAAGATAAAGGCGCGGTCGAAGAAGGAGCAGGACTGGTGGCGTCTGGAGTAGTGGGTGAGGTACTCGCTGCAGACCTCCACCACGTGCTGGGAGCAGAGAGAGCGCCAGAAACTCTGTGCCTGCCTGCCCCGGTTCCAGACCGAACGGCTGTTCCCCGTCGGAGGCCCTGGCGCTCTGGTCCCCGTGCGCGAACATGATTATTCGGAGCTGCACCCGGAGGAGGCGCCGCTGGTCTGCTCTGCACTGCTTCCTCTTCCGCCTCCACCGCCACCGCCAACGCCACCAGCAGGCACCGCCCCGTCCTCCTCCCTCCAGTCGCCCTGCTGGGGCTGGTGCGAACGTGCTCCGGAAACGTTTCTCCGGAGCACGTTCGAAGGACACTGGAGAGACAGGGGGCGGTGAAAGTGAGCAGGTTCGGTGTCTGCAATGTTGAAGCCGCCGATCGCAACCGCCTGTTCGAGCGCCACCGCCTGTTCGAGGAGGAAGACCAGGAGGAGGGGGAGGAGGACGAGAAGCGGAAGTAGGAGCAGCGGATCGAGGAGGAGGAGCGGCAGGACTGGGAGGAGGAGCCGAGGGCGAGGAGGATCAGCAGGGGCAGCGGTCCTCCGAACCAGCTCCGAAGCCAGCTCATTCAGCAGCGAGGCGCTGGTGCCGCGGAAGAACGGGTGGCGGGCGAGGAACGCGAGCCGCGCCCTCGGGCCGTCCGCTCCTGGGGCGGCGAAGCGCGCCGCCGAGGACGAGCGGGGCAAGACCGCCCCCCGAGGAGTTTTGAACACCTCATCCTCCTCCTCCTCCTCCTCCTCCTCCTCCTCCTCCTCCTCCTCCTCCTCCTCCTCCTTGTCCTCCTCGTCCTCCTCCTCCTCCTCCTCCTCCTCCTCCTCCTCCTCCTCCTCCTCCTCCTCCTCCTCGTCATCATCCTCAGCAGCAGCAACGGCAGCATCATCATCATCATCATCATCATCATCATCATCATCATCATCATCATCATCATCATCAGCAGCAGCAGCAGCATCATCATCATCAGCCTCATCAGAATCATCATCAGCAGCATCAGTTTCATCATCTTGAATAATCATCATCAGCCGCACCATCATCATCATGATCATCATCATCATCATCATCATCATCATCATCATCATCATCATCATCATCATCATCGTCGTCGTCGTCGTCGTCGTCATCATCATCATCATCATCATCATCATCATCATCATCATCATGGCCATCATCAGCAGCAGCAGCATTATCATCAGCATCAGCAGCAGCACCATCATCAGCATCATCATCCCCGTGATCATCATCATCAACATCATCATCCGCAGCATGGTTAGCAACATCCTGATCAGCCTCGTCCTCATCATCCTCATCAGCAGCAGCATCATCAATACCATCAGCCTCGTCATCTTTCATCAGCATCATCACCTCTTCCATCATCTTCGTCAACATCGAAAGCATCATCGTCATCAATATCACCATCGTCCCCATCGTAATCATCATCATCATCATCATCAGCATTAGCATCATCAACACCATCATGAGCAGTTTCATCATCGTCATTATCATCGTCATCATCATCAGCATCATCAGCATCATCAGCATCATCCCCCATCCCCGATCCCCCATCCTCCATCCCTGTTCCTTCTGAAAAACTCCTCCCATCCGCACTCCCAGATGCGTGCGTTGGCTGGGCCAGGTGTCTCGCACGAGACTTCTTCACCAACTCTGACCCTGAAGCTTGAACTTTGCAACAGCTTCAAAGATGGAGGGCGGGTCGTTTTTTCATGTGGCTAAAATGCGTAGCAGCGTAAAGGACGGATGGCGACCGGTTTTCAAAATGTGGCTCTCGCCTCAGCGCCGCGCAATCGTCTTGAAAATTCGCAGCAGCCTCAAGATGTAGGGCGGCCGTCCTCAAATTGGGTCTCGCCTGAGCGCCGCGCACACTCGTCTTAACAGTTAGAAGCAGTTTCAAGCAGGTAGGCTTGTCACGACGCAGCAGTCACGTGTCTTCGCGGTGTTGAAGTCCCAGGAACGTCGGTTTGGCGCGATGAGTACTTGTCAGAACGCAGCACTCACTTTGACTCGCGGCGTTGAAGGCCCAAGAATGGTACTTTGGCAGGATCTAACATTCTCGGATACTTCCGGAAATTGAAGGCTGCCCGAATATCATCACTTGTTACTGCGAAGCTGTTGTTGTGTTACTATGTTTGTTATCCTTGCGAGGCATCTTCCGTTCTTGGAGTCTGGGGGAAATTCTTGTTGACTTTCAATAGGCCACTTCCTGCAATGGCAATGCATTATTGCAGGAACCTGTCAAGAGGGAACTTGGAGGAGGGTTCATTGCAACATCGTTGAGGCGGCTTGGGTTTACCCTGGTTATCCTCCTCCTCCTCCTCCTCCTCCTCCTCCTTCTCCCCTGGGGGCTCTGAGGCGGCCTGACTGCATTGAAGCAAGTCTCGTCACAATTAACGCGGCACCCTTGGCATGCTCGCTCGAGGTAAAGATCGCGACAGCAGGTTTGTCACCACTCTTCGGTCTTCGGGGCCGCTCTTCGGGGCCCGGGGCCGTCAAGCAGCGACTTGGGGTGCAAAGCCGGTCCCCAGGAGAAGGTCCAGACTTGTGGGGGTCCACGCTGCGAGAAAATCACGAAGTCGACGCCTTGGTCCGGGCGCGACCAAGGAAGCGCCCTGACGGTCGAGACAGGGGGGGGGGGGGGGGCTACACTGGGGCCTGCCCAAGGCCCTAGGGTAGCCTAGGGTAGGGAGTATCCAAGGCCCTAGGGTAGCCCAGGGTAGGTCTAGGGTAGGCCTAGGGTAGGCCTAGGGGTAGGCCTAGGGGTAGGGCCTAGGGGAAGGGCCTGGGGGTAGGCCTGGGGTAAGCCTAGGGGAGGGGCCTTGGGGTAGGCCTAGGGAAGGCCTTGATTCTGGTTTCTATAAGGTCCTAGCAGGTCACGTTTGGGCGCTCCAGCCAGGCTGGGAAGCTTCCAGGCGGGTGCCGTCGGGCACCCAAGGGAGGGCGCCCCAGCAGATGCCTCCAGAGCGCTCCAAGGGAAGCGCGTTAGTGGGCGGATCCAACCTTCTGCGGCGCCAATCCGACGCCCTTGCACGAATTCTCCACCGGCGGCTCCCAGACCCCTGACGTCGCGTTTCGTTCACACCGTAGGCCCCGTCAGGTCTGGATCCTTTCACAAGGACCGGCGTTTCACCCTGAATCAATGTTTGACGGCCCCAGAACCCTGGTGAGGGTCCCAAAGCCGAGAATTACCAAAATGCTTCCGCCGTCATTTCTTCACGACGCAAAAAATGTCAGGGTGGCCCCTCCACCGAGAAGGGCCCCGCCACCACGTCGCCCCGCCGCCGCCGCGCTGGCGGGCAGCAGCGTGCCCCCGCGCGCGCGGCGAGAGCAGGAGAAAGGGGCCACTCGGGGGGGGTGCGGGAGGAGAGGGGCGTAGCGCTAAGGTCCCCCTGCGGGCACCAACTTAATCAACCGAAGGCTCACGTCGACAAAGGCAATAGGGGTGGATAGCCCAGAGGCGCGCATCACACGCATACGCTGCGAGCCTCGTCGAGGATATGGGCTATTGGAGCATACATGAAATGCTCCCCCCTGGGATACCCGATCGTCCTGTAGCCGCCGATCATGGGGCCAGGACCCCCAATCCTCCGAGCGCCCACGGTCAGTGTGGGCTGGGGCACGCCTCGAGAGGCGTTGCTTTGACCAGGGCAAGGCCAACCCCGAACCTTGCGTGACAGCAAGTGATTTTAGCCCCCATCGCCCCAGACAGCGCCGTCGGCCGCACCGAAGCCCAGATGAGCTCCTCAGCCAGTAGCATAGTTTTGCCATGCGGGCCATGGGGTAAGGAACGATACCCTCTTTGGTTGTGGCCAAATCCGCGAGGAAGGCCGTGGACGGACCAAAAGAACATCGATCCCCTTTCAAAACCAAACTGAACCTGATCCTGAAGTTTCAACTGCATGCTGTCTCAGGGGGTTCGGAAATGAGGGCGACTGAAAAGGAAACGTGTCAGTTGCCCAGCCGGCATAGTTACACTTTCGCCATGCTTCGTGCCTGACATGTCACAAGCCCTAACTGACCAGCATAAGTGATTAATTGCTTATATGTCGATGCTACTTTCTTCAGTTTGTCAGTATGTCCAAGTCTCGAGTGTACAACATCTGTCGTCATACTTTCTCTGACTCTATTCCACACACACACTCTCTCTCTGTCTCTCTCGTTCTCTCCGTTTGGTCTCTTGGGATTTTCGTATAACCAAAGCCCTCCATGCCCAAGTCACACTATGATACTGATCGCCAAGCATCCCCTCCCTATCTCGGAAAGTTCCTCGACTTCAGCGAGTGTCCCAATTCTGGACCGCCAGATATTCATCCCAGGTTGACGAGCGATACCTGCGAAATTTACCTTCACATTACTCGAATTTCGTAACAGACATTTCATGTGGCCCCCAGGAAAGTACCATTGTCGGTGCAGTTGGATTCTGCCTCAAAAGACCCATGTTTAGCATGACGCGGCAACAGCCACACACACACACATATCACTGTCCCAGTTGTATCGGTTCAGTCTCGTGACACGCCTGAACGATCTGCACAAGTGAACAACGGTGTGTCCCATTCCTGCGACACGCGTGGGTCTGAGCCAAAACGTTAGGGAGATGGATTGAAAGATCAAGCCGAACATCAGTTTTGTGAACAGACGTGTTATCAGAGTATGTGCCAGCTCGCGATCGCCCGTCGTCATGTTCCCACCGTCGACCTCGGAGGCAGTCATGCGTTGTCCACTGGATGCCCACAATTCCTACGGCAACGCTCCCAAGCACGGTTGTGCCAGATCGGAAGCACAACAAAAAGACAAACATAAATCACAACGTGTGCAGCGGTTTGTGCGTATGCGTTGGGTTTTTTATTTTTTTCTTTCGTTACTTCGCTTCGTGCGAAGCAAGACTTAGGACCTCCCGACGCATCGAGCCTAATGTACGCTCATTTCTGACGACCAAGTCCCTGCGGCATCGGCATCCCGACCGAGGAATGACCCCCAAAGCAAAAGCGGTGGCAGCCACGTCCAGTGGGATATCCCTCCCCCTACCCGCCGCCCCGCCCCCCACTCCCCAGGTAGCGCCCGCCCGAAAGCGGTTGCAGAATCGCGCGGCAAAGCAACTGGATAGTACAACGTTCACACGCTACATGGTACGATTGTTGTGCTCGAAAAAAAGCGTGCAAGCGGCAGTTTGCCCTTCCTTCGCTGCGCAGACGAACCTCCGACGAGTGATGCGTCATGCTTGTAGCGGTCGGGGCCGAGCCCTTTCGGCTGACCTCGCTGCTTCCATCGCCATCCCCTTGCGGAGCATGCGGCCAGCAGCGAGACGGACAGAGACGGGGCCCACGCCCAGGTCATGCCCTTCACGCGGGCCGTACCCCCCACGGAAAGCTCAGCACGCCTCTGCACCGATTGCCCCAGAGGCCCGAATCGGCACTGGCCCGAGCGCCATACCCGCGGCGAGCATTTTCTGAGAGCGCCGCGCCCCGCGCTGCAACGCGGCTGCGCAGGGTTGGGCCCCCCGGCCGAGGCGGTCTCGGTTCCAACCTCGACCTCCGCTTCCGCCCCAGGGCCCTGGGACGACAGAGGGGGGCAGCTCGGAGGAGGGAGGCCAGCGAATCGGCCGCATGCGGCTGGTTTCCCCAGCACCAGGAGCCGCTGGGGACTACCGCTGCATCGAGGAGCGCGCCCCAGCGGAGGGGCCGCGATTGGCCGCCTGCATCAGATGTTGTGCCCTCCCTCCCCCCGTCCCCAATTAGAAGCCTCCCAGATGGGGTCCGAGTAGATGGGGTCGGACATCGCCGATGCATCGGCGATGCGGCGCGATCCTCCGACCCCATCTGCTCCGACCCCATCCGGGAGGCCGGGCCAACGCTGTCCACCTCGTCCTCCCCGCTCCCTCTCCCCAAAGGCCGTGCACGGCGACAGCGCAACCGAACAGCGGCCCAGCCGACACCGAACCGCGGACACCCACTGCTCCACCCCACGGCGGGGCGGCGGCCCTCGCACGTCGGGTCCCTTTGGCCCTCCCGGGGCCCCTCCCGGCCAGTCTGTCTAGCCGACGCTGGCCCCCATCCTCGACCTCGTGCTCTCGGAGAGAGACGACGGCGGCCCTCGCGCCTGGCCCAAATCCGCTCCAGAATCAATCCCCGGAGCCCTCCTTTGACAGACCTCCCGGTGCGGATTCCGCCGTGGCGACGAGAAGCCTCCCAGGGTCCCAAACAGGACGACAAACGCCCTCCTCCGATCCTCCCCGCCCCCGCTGCCTCGACTGGCCCTCCTCCGCTCCTCCCCGCCCCCGCTCCCCCTGGGGGTCCCAAAACAGCGCGGTTGCGCCTCGGAACCCCCAAAGACCTCACCGCATGCTCAGGCACCGCAGGGTTTTGGGACCCTGGAGGCCCGGGTTGCCCGAGACATCCTCGGAGAACGTCCCAAGGTCCGAAACAATGCGGTGGCCTCGAATCCCCACTGACTCACTCCACGGCGTGGTCACCGCGCCGATGGGGGGCCATCAACCCAGACATCCGAAGCCGTGTATTTTGTCACACCGTGGCTCTCTGGTTCTCTGAACCCCTTTCCAGGTACCCGTTTTCATCCTGAGTCGTTCTCTGACAGAACCGGACCCAGTGAGGGCCCCCTGGGGCCCAAAAAGGCCGAAAACCTCACGCCGTGATATTGTCACCACGCGAAGACGTCAGGGTCACCACACGGTGTGGTCACCGCGCCGTTCGGGGGGCCCCCGATGACCCGCCCCCCCCCCCGCAGCGTGGCGGGGGGCCCTCCTGGGTTTCCAAAGCCGCCAGCGGACGAGCGCCGGCCCGATCGCCGGGGCCGCACCCCTTTGGGCACGGGCGCCTCCTCGTCGCGGATGAACGAGAGCCGCGACAGGCTGCGCGCCAGGGCCTCGAGAGGAGGTCCGCCACCGGTGCCTCATGCTCCTCCTCCTCCTCCTCCTCCTCCGAATCCTCCCCCTTCTCTTCCTCCCCCTCCTCCTCCTCCTCCTCCTCCTCCTCCTCCTCCTCCTCCTCCTCCGCCTCCTCTTCCTCCTACTCCTCATCATCCTCCTTCTCCTCCTCCTCCTCCGCCTCCTCCTCCTCCATCCCGTTTTCTTAAAATGACTCCTCCCTGTCGCACCCCCAGACATGTCTGTAGGCCGGGCCGGGCGTTTCGCCTGAAACTTCCTCACCACGTACGATCCTGAAGCTTGAAACTTGTTCAGGATGGAGGGAGGATCGTTTTCACAATGTGGCTTTCGCTTTAGCGCCGCGCTCATTCGTCTTTCTGTATACACCAGTTTCATGTCCAGAGGGAGGTTGCTGTTCAACCTTTGCCTCTCGCCTGAGCGCCGAGCACATTCCTCATAAGCGTTTGCAGCATCTTCGAGAGTTCGTATGCCTGAAGTCGCAGGAATGAATCCTGGCACGATCTAGGACGGTCAGGACGCAACAGTCACGTTGATTCGCTGTGTTGAAGTCCCAGGAACGGCGCTCTGGCACGATTGAGGACTGTCAAGACGCATCAGACATGACTCGCGGCGCTGAAGTACCAGGAACGGTGTCTTGGTACGGTTGAAGCTTATCAGACGGCAATGAAAATCAATTCGGGACCTACGAGGAACCTTAGAGGAAGAACATGTTGCAACATCGTTGATGCGTCGTGTTGGGCTTACACCGGTTAGCCTCCTCCTCCACCTCCTCCTCATCCCCCTCCTCCTCCTCATCCCTCCTCCTCCTCATCCCAACTCACTCATCCCTGCTCGCTGCTACTTGCTCCATCCTCTCTCCTGCCCCCCCGCTCCTCTCCTCACTCCTCCCTCATCCCTCATCCTCCTCCCTCATCCCTCATCTTCTTGCTCCTCCCTCTCCTACCGCAGCCATCACCTCCACAACCAACCACCAACACCACTGTCATTTTCATCATCATATCCATCGTCATCCTCATCATCAGCAGCATCATCATCATGATAGCAGCATCATCAGCAGCAGCATCAAAATCAGCATCAGCATCACCACCATCATCATCATCCTCCTCATCAAAATCATCATCATCATCATCATCATCATCATCATCATCATCATCATCATCATCATCGTCATCATCATCATCATCGTCGTCATCGTCATCGTCATCGTCATCGTCATCGTCATCGTCATCGTTATCATCATAATTATCTTTCTCAGCAGCAGCAACATCAGCATCATCAGCATCAGCATCAACATCAGCATCATCACCATTATCATCACCACCGTTGTCGTCATCATCAGCAGCAGCATCGGCAGCATCATCAGCATCATCCTTATCATCATCACCACCACCACCACAATCAGCATCATCAGCATCAGCATCGTCAGCACCATCATCATCCTGATCATCATGATCATCATCATCATCATCATCATCATCGCCTTCGTCGTAGTTGTTAGTATGATTACCAACATCGTACTCTTGGTTAGCATCAACAGCAGCGTCATCAGCAGCAGCATCAGCATCATCACCATCATGATCATCGTTATCATCAGCACCAGCATCACTATAATCGTCACCCACATCATCGCAGTAATCGTCGTCGTCATCATACTCACCATAAGAATCATCATCATCATCATCATCATCATCATCATCATCATCATCATCATCATCATTATCATCAGCATCATCGGCATCGTTATCGCCGTCGTCATCATCATCACTATCAGCATCGGCAGCATCCACCTCCTCATCATCATCCTGATCATCATCATCATCATCATCATCATCATCAGCAGCAGCATCATCATCATCATCATCATCATCATCATCATCATCATCATCATCATCATCATCATCATCATCATCATCATCATCATCATCATTATCATCAGCATCATCGGCATCGTTATCGCCGTCGTCATCATCATCACTATCAGCATCGGCAGCATCCACCTCCTCATCATCATCCTGATCATCATCATCATCATCATCAGCAGCAGCATCATCATCATCATCATCATCATCATCATCATCATCATCATCACCATCATCATCATCATCATCATCATCATCATCCTCATCATCATCATCATCATCATCAGCATCATCATCATTGTCATAGCAGCAGCATCGTCATCATCATCGCCATCGTCTTCGCCCTTATGATTACCACCATTGTCATCATCGTCATCATCAGCAGCAGCGTCATCAGCATCAGCAGCATCAGCATCATCATCATCATCATCAGCATCAGCATCATCAACATAATTAGCATCACTATCGTCGTCATCCGCATCATCGCAGTAAATGTCGTCATCCTACTCATCATAGGGATCATCGCCATCATCAGCATCAGCATCATAATCATCAGCATCAGCATCAGAATCAGCATCATCGGCAGCATCGTTCTCAGCATCCTAATGGTCACCACCACCACCACAATGATCAGCATCAGCAGCAGCGTCATCATCATCATCATCATCAAAATCGTCATCATTCTCATCATCCTTATCAGCATCACCACCACCACAATGATCAGCATCAGCATCATCATTACAAGTATCAGCAGCATCATCATCATCAGCCTCATCATCAGCATCATCATCGCAGTCGTCGTTGTCCGTATGCGCATCACTATCGTCACCATTGCCATCATCAGCAGCAGCGTCATCATCATCTGATCACCAGCATCGTCATAGTCGTCATCACTACCCACCATCGTCACCATCATCATCAACAGCCGAAGCAGCACATTCGTCGCCATCAGCATCATCAACAACATGATCAGCATCCTCATCACTCAACAGACGGAGTACCATCAAGAGCATCATAATCAAAATCGCCAGCATTATTGACAGTGCTATCATCGTTATCGTACTCGTCGTCTTCATCGTCATCATCGCCATCATCGCCGTCGCCAGCCTCACCACCATCATCATCAACATCATCATCCACAGCATCATCACACCATCGTCACCACCATCATCCTGATCAACAGCAGCAGCCTTGCCATCATCATCGTTATCAGCATCATCACGACGGGAATGACAAGCATCACCACCAGGATCATCATCTGCAGCAGTAGCAGCATCGTTACCAACACCACCATAACCGTCATCAACAACATCATCAGCAGTGCCGCCGTCATCATCATCATCATCATCATCATCATCATCATCATCATCATCACCATCATCAGCATCATCAGCAGCATCAGCATCACGATGATAATGAACATCATCACCACCATGCTCAGAACCTGCAGCATCAGCAGCATCGTTATCAGCACAGCCATTTCCACCATCAGCAGCATCATCAGCAGCGACGCCAGCATCATCATGGTCACGATGGTAATGATCATCATAACCACCAGGATGATCATCAGCATCGCCAGCATTGGCCTCCTCACTATCCTCCTGACCAGCAACCATCATCATCAGAATCAGCATCGCCGTCACCAACACCATCACCACTACAACCAACATGATCAGCTGCCTCATCATCAGCATCATGATCATTAGCATCATCATCAACAACATCATCATCATCATCATCCTCATCGTCATCATCATGAGCATCATCATCACATTCATCATCAGTGTCATCATCAGCAGCAGCTTCATCCGCATCATCATCATCATCATCATCATTAACAGCATCACCGTCATCATCACTACCACAGTCAAAATCATCATTTTCATTCTCCTTCTCCACCCCCGCCTGCTAGTCGTCCTCCGCCTCATCATCATACCCCTGGTCTGCCTCCACACCTGCCCCCTCACTAACCAACTCAATAGTACAATCATCATCACCAGAATCATCGTAATCCGCAGCATGATCGTCATCAGCATCATCATCATCATCATCATCATCATCATCATCATCATCATCATCATCATCCTCCGCATCGCCATCAAAACCATCACCATCCGCAAACAATTAACAGGATCATCATGATCGCCATCAGCATCAGCAGCTCCATCATCAACATAATCATCAGCAGCATCCGCATCATCAGCATATTCATGTTTATCTGCATCATCAGGATCATTATCAGCATCATCGATATCAGCATCATGACCATCAACGTTATGATCATCACCCTCATCATCACCGTCGCCATGGCCACCAACATCACCACTACCATCAGCACATTCTTCATCAGCATCGTCTTCGCCCCCATCATCAGCATCATCAATCTCCTTATCATTAGCCTCATATTACAGCTCACTCGGCGCCTGACCTTAGGCTAGGTCGCTCCACAGCAGCAGCTTCCCCTCATCCTCGTCATCCACCTTCTTCTACTCGTCCTCCTCTTCCGCCTCCTCCTCCTCCTCCTCTTCGTCGTCCATCTCGGCCTCCCCACCATCCATGTCCTCCTCCACCTCTTCATCCTACTCAGCTTCCTTGTGCTCATCCTCAGCATCCGCCTCCTCATCCACCTCCTCATGCTCCTCCTCCTCCTCTTCCTCATCCTCCTCATCCTCATCCTCATCCAGCTCCGCCCCCTCCTGCACACAAACATCATGACCATCAGCACCAGCATACTCATCCGCGTCAGTACCACCATCATCATCATCAGCATCAGCATCACCAACAACACCACCATCGCCATCGTCATCATCGTCGTCATCATCAGTTGCCGTATTATCAGCATCATCGTCATGGCCAGCAGCATCATCATCAGCAGCAGCAGCATCATCATCAGCAGCGTCATCATCGTCATCATCGTCATCATCCTTATCACCATCACCATCACCATCATGATCAACAACGCCACTAACACCAGAAGCCTCATCACCATCATCATCATCATCATCATCATCAGCATCATCATCATCATCATCATCATCATCATCATCATCATCATCATCATCATCATCATCATCATCATCATCATCATCATCATCATCATCATCATTAGCATCGTTATT